CCCTGGACCTTCAGCTAAATGATTATTTTCTCTCAAGTAGTTTGGTGCATAAGATCCTTACTTTTCTACATTAATTATTTACTTTTCCCAGATTTTATATAATTTTAGCCAATTTACAGACACTATGTAGTTAAAAAGACACTGCTGTTACATAACATTACATATAACATAACATAACATAACATAATAGGGGTGCGCCGATCCGATATTCAGGATCGGTATCGGCTCTGATACTGGCATTTTCTGCTGGATCGGGGTATTGGTCAGACGAGACCGATCCAAATCCGTGTTTTTGTTAAGCCCCACGAAAGGCACAAAAACATTATAAAGCACCATAAAGTTTCCGTGCACTATATTTCAAGTGTTCTGAGACCGTTCCATAGTTTAATGTGAGGTACAGATGAGTATTTAAGTCATTAAATTCAAGTTCACGTAAACTCTTCTCTCCGCTGCGGCTGTCAGTCATCCTCCATTCAGCATTCAAACTGCATGTCACGTTCGGTTACGACAGTCAAGACGACGAAACTCCCTCAAGGATGATACAATGTTTCTATTATTATACTTGATCTGCAGATAAACATCAACGGTTTTGCATAAAATGATTTTTATCTTGCTGCAGTTTATTGCTAATTCTAAATCATGTTACTTTCTACCGGGTGTTAGAGATCACAACACTTGCGTACAGAGCACTATGAATTGTTCTTCACGCGCACTGTAACTGAAATTTAAAACTGTCAAAAGAAAATGCTCAATAAACTATCGCACAGATATAATACACTGCGCATAATGTCTCTTCCCTTTGTGTTTTGAACTTTTCTATGCGGAGCGCTGCGAGGATGAACATAAGCATAAGCGCTTTGTGCCGCTCTGTATTGGAGCCTTTCATGTTATAATACTTTTGCGCAATGAAAGATTGTTAATATCCTTTCTTGTTCTGTCTTATCTATCATATGTTGCTGTCTCATTACTGTGCTATAGATGTAAAATAAATGTATTTAATTTATTGCATATATTTATATATAATTATATTTACTTGTTTTTCATGAATGTATATTACAATACAAAGAGCAATGTGTAACATTTTACCAGATTACACCTATTTACTTTTATTTTTTCTCCCACTTAATGTTTTTTTCTCTAAATGTTTAGATTTTATAAAATCATTGTGAACTCATCATTTTTGTAGTGTAGCTTTTGCTGCTGAATAGTATTTTTCTCATAGATTATGATTATATATTTTTTAATTTGCTATTTTTCTTTATAATGAAGTTGTCTATATATAGTAGATTGTGTGTAATACACAAAAGAGTGATGATCAGGTCAACACACACTGAGGTATATAAATTAAATTAAAAAAACTGTGCTGATATCGGATCGTTATCGGTATTTTCCGATACTCAGAACTTTTGGTATCGGATCAGGATCAGTTCTGAAAAAATGGTATAACATAACATAACATAACATAACATAACATAACACAACGCAACACAACATAACATATAACATAACATATGACATAACATAACATAACATAAAATAACATAACAACATAACAAACAACATATAACATAACATAACAAACAAAACATAACATAATATATAACATAACATAACATAACATAAAATAACATAACAACATAACAAACAACATATAACATAACATAACAAACAAAACATAACATAATATATAACATAACATAACATAACATAAAATAACATAACAACATAACAAACAAAATATAACATAACATAACAAACATAACACAACATAACACAACATAACAAAATAACATATAATATAATATAACATAACAACATAACATAAACATAACATAACAACATATAACATAACAACATATAACATAACATAACATAACATAGCATAACAAACAAAACATAACATAACATAACAACATATAACATAACAACATATAACATAACATAACATAACATAGCATAACAAACAAAACAAAACATAACATAACATAACATAACATAACATAACATAACAACATAACAAACAAAATATAACATAACATAACGAACAAAACATAACATAACATAATATAATATAACATAACATAACATAACATAACATAACATAACAACATAACATAAAATAACATAACATATAACAACACATAACATAACACAACATAACATAACAAAACATAACAACATATTATAACATAACATAACAAACAAAATATAACATAACATAACAAAACAAACAAAACATAACAACATAACATAACATAATATAACATAACATATTATAACAACATTACATAACATAACATAACATATTATAACATAACATAACATTACATAACATAACAAACAAAATATAACATAACAACATAGCATAACAAACAAAACATAACATAACATAACATAACAAAACAAACAAAACATAACAACATAACATAACAACATAATATAACATAACATATTATAACGTAACATTACATAACATATTATAACATATTATAACATAACATAACATTACATAACATAACAAACAAAATATAACATAACATAACATAGCATAACAAACAAAACATAACATAACATAACAACATATAACATAACAACATATAACATAACATAACATAACATAACATAGCATAACAAACAAAACAAAACATAACATAACATAACATAACATAACAACATATAACATATAACATAACATAACATAACATAACATAACATAACATACATAAAAACGGACTGTTTTAAACTGTGTAATTATGTCATCTTAAAGGGGCCATATCACAGTTTTTTTTTTTTTTACATTTATTATTTATTTTTTCCCAGATAATGTTTTTTAGCCAATTTACAGACAATATGCAGATTACATAAAGTGTAAAAATGACCTTGAAATTTAATTCAGGAGGCAAAAATAGGGACTTAATGAGAAATGTTTATTTCTGAGACTTGTCACTTTACATAAAATTACATATATAAAACTGAACTTAATTAACTATTTCAAACTGCGTAATTATGTCATCTTAAAGGGGTCATATCATATTTTTTTTGTACATTTTTGTTCCAGATAATGCTATATAATTTGAGTTAATTTACAGACATGTAGTTACAGTTTTTTAAAATTACACTAAAAGTGATACTCAAGTCCCACTTAGTGAAGCCATTCACTCATATACCTAACCTTTAGACCAAGTTTGCAAAACTAAATAAACAAAAATTTGATTCAAGAGGGCAAATTGTGACACTTAATAAGAAATGTTTGTTTTTGACACTGTTGTTACACTTGTTGCAACTGTTTCAAAATTAACTTTTAACTGTCTCAAACAGGGACATTATGTCATCTTAAAGGTATCACACTCTTGTTTACATTTATTTATTTTTTTAGATAATGTTTTAAAATTTTTTTTTTCCAATTTACATACATAAAATGTCTAGATAAAGCATATATTTATGGTATAAAAATGACCCTGAAAATCAATTCAGCAGACAAATATTGACACTTATTAATGTGTAATTAAATTTAATTTCTGTAGTTACATAACATAAAACTATATACATAAAGCTGAACTTAATTAACTGTTTCAAACTCATCTTAAAGGGGTCCTTTTTTTAATTTATTATGTCTTTTTTTTTACAGATAATGTTATAAACCTTTAGGCGATTTTCTGTGCCAACATCTTATGTCAATTTCTGCTGCTGTTTAAGAACACTATCTATCCTATTTCCTCCAAATTGTCTTATTTCAGGATGAACCAAGTTTTTGATAGATGTAAATGTTGACCGTCACATGTGGATGTTCATCATTTGTACTAATTTGTAAGTCACTTTGGATAAAAGCATCTGCTAAATCAATAAATGCAAAGTAAAAATGAATCGTTTCTGCAGTTTAGTTTAATTAAAGGGACAGTTCATCCAAAAATGTTAATCTCATCATCATCATGTCATTCAAACCTGGACGACTTTCTTCTGGGGAACACGAAACAAGATATTTTGAAGATCTTTGGGGTCTAAATGACATTGGACCCCAATGACTTTCATTATATGGACACGAAAAGACATTTTTCAAAATATGATGGTGAAAAGGTGATATTTGTGAGTGAACTGTCCCTTTAAGAGATTCTGCTCATTCTCTGTATGTGATCAAGTGTGGTTCTGGTCGAGCTTAGAGAACATTCACTATATCTTTTTATGTTATTATATTCCTACATTCTCTGTTCTTCTGTTCATCCACAGGCTTAGAAAATAACCAGAAGTGACAAAAATGCACCTTAGATTTACAATTTTAGGGCAAAGCGGTGAGTTCTTCTGTTTTTATAGCTGTTATGCAACATGTCATGTATTTCATAACATTCTTTTCTAGACTTTATTGCCTCTAGAGACTAATATGAAGCACAGAAATGACCTTGAAAATCAATTCCAGGAGGCAAATATTTCAACTTTATAAGAAATGTTCATTTCTGACATTAAGAGTTCATCAATTAATGTCCATAAAACTAAACTTAATTAATTTTCTACAGAATCTACAGAAGTGTTTTGACAGACTTTGTTGATTTTCACAACAGATCAAACTCTATTACAGTTTTTAACGTTTTATGAAACTATTTTGATTTAACACTTTCCATTAGCATAAAGTCTGATCTATTCTAATTTCATCTTTAATTTGATAAAATGTTCAAATGCTGCTGAATTGAGATGAAAACCTGTTTTTCAAGGTAAAGCAAAGTGCACTTTCTAGCCAATGCATTTTGAATAAGTTAAAGCAACAACTACAACTTGTTTAAAGTTAAAGTTGTAACTAATATAAATGTTTTTAACCTTTATTCTTTGGCAATAGATTTGAAAATGACTTTAGTTTTATTAAAAATGTTGACTGACAGACTGCACAACGACATTTTTGTTGGTATTTTTACTTCTTAATGACGATATTTATATTCTATTCGCAGATTCATAGTATTTTCACATTCTTATTAAATCTCTAACCCTAAACAAAGATGAAATGAAACACTCACCAAACAGCATCAGCAGCAGCAGCAGCAGCAGCAGCAGACACACAGCCATTATTCCCAAAGAATGCAAGCGATTTTTCTTCAGCATCTTCCTTTCTCCGATTAATCACACATGAAGTTTCTCTTTTATCCAGATCTTTAAGATTGTAGTCCGACGACATCCATTGGCACTGGAGAAACATCTGAAACAGTCGTGCTTCAGCAGCAGATTCATATAAGAGCAGGAGTTACTGCTCCCACAGGAGACCATGCAGCAATCCACGGAAAACCATTAGATGTTAGAAGAACCCAGCGCCGAGCCTGACTGGAGAAATATGAGACAGAGAGAGAGAGAGAGAGAGAGAGAGAGAGAAGAGGGAGGGTCGAAGAGGTTTGGAGTCAGAGCTGGTTTTCATTAGGAATCTCAAACCCATACCACATCAAACAGATCCTGATCTCAGAACAGTTAAACTTCCTGCTGTTCAAACCTGCAAATATGTTTTTGTCGAGGACATTTACTTTTTCTTGTGTAATTAGGCCTATAAGTAGCACACACATATGTATCCATGTATGCATTTAATGTTTGACTTCATAACAAATGGTAACTTGCTCTCAAACCACTTTCCTCTTCATTATCATGTTGCTAGCATGATTAGCATTCTATTAGCATTTTGCTAGCATGATTAACAAGTAACTAGCATGTTGCTAGCATGATTAGCATGCTACTAGCATTTTGCTAGCATGATTAACAAGTAACTAGCATGTTGTTAGCATGATTAGCAAGTAACTAGCATGCTGTTAGCATTACTAGCAAGTGACTAGCATGTCGTTAACATGATTAGCAAGTTACTAGCATGTTTCTAGCCTGATTAGCATGTTACTAGCATGTTGCTAGCATGATTAGCATGCTACTAACATGTTATCATGATTATCAAATGACTAGCATGTTTCTAGCATGATTAGCAAGTGACTATCATGTTGCTAGCATGATTAGCAAGTAACTAGCATGTTGCTAGCATGACTAGCATGTCCTAGCATGATAAGCAAGTTACTAGCATGTCACTAGCATGTTTCTAGCCTGATTAGCATGTTGCTAGCATGATTAACAAGTAACTAGCATGTTGCTAGCATGATTAGCAAGTAACTAGCATGCTGTTAGCATTACTAGCAAGTGACTAGCATGTCGTTAGCATTATTAACAAGTTACTAGCATGTCACTAGCATGGTCTAGCCTGATTAGCATGTTACTAGCATGTTGCTAGCATGATTAGCAAGTGACTAGCATGTTGCTAGCATGATTATCAAGTTACTAGCATGTTTCTAGCCTGATTAGCATGTTACTAACATGTTGTTAGCATGATTAACAAGTAACTAGCATGTTGCTAGCATGATTAGCAAGTAACTAGCATGCTGTTAGCATGACTAGCAAGTGACTAGCATGTCGTTAGCATGATTAACAAGTTACTAGCATGTCACTAGCATGTTTCTAGCCTGATTAGCATGTTACTAGCATGTTGCTAGCATGATTAGCAAGTGACTAGCATGTTTCTAGCATGATTAGCATGCTACTAGCATGTTGTCAGTATGTTTCTAACATGATTAGCATGTTGCTAGGATAGATAGATAGAAAGCTGTGAAAACATAAATCTTTTCAAAAGATATATTATTTTCTTGCTCCCTGGCATATATTACCATCATTCTGTATTACTTTATGTCATCTAAATAAATAAACAAATAATAGAGACTGTCAGAGGAGTCAATCTTCATGGATGAAACCATTTTAAAGCAACGCCTTTATCAATAATATCCTCTAAATGCATTCCTGTAGCTCAACCAGTAAAGTGTTTAAATGCCGGGTCTTGGGTTCGATTCCCAGAGAATGCATGAACTGATCAAATGCATGTTTCTATGCAGTGTATGTCACTTTGCATAAACATGTCTGTATAATTTTATTATATTTCTGTCATTTATACTGTATTCTTTTGTTCTTAATGCATGTTATGTTGCTTTGCACTATTTTCATTTCGCACTTATTTTAATTGCATGCAATGCTGCAATTGTTTTGCCAATGCAAATGTAAAAAATATTCGTTGCGCCAGAAAAGCACCACAAAATAGAGTAAAAGAGCACAGACTTGTCATTTTTGAGTGAACTATCCTTTTAAAAGAATGCTTTCACAGACTTCATGTGTGTTAAAGTGAATCCACATGCTATTTACAGAGTATATAAAACATGTCTTTGTAAGATGTAGAAATGGAAATGGTGTCACCATATGCAGAGTTAAAAAAAAAGCAAAACAAGGCGAGCTTTAAGCGCACTGACTGGCTTGAGTTTCTCAGTTCAAAGCACTTTAATCTTGTGGTTTGGCTGCAATCAGATGGGATTCGAGTGGGAGTGAGACGCCTCCTCTCCTGTCTCTCTCTCTCAGTCTGTGCGCCTGTCTCTCGCCCGCTGGCAGCTGTGACTCTCTGGAAACAGAGATGTTGGCGAAGCCTCTGAAGAGCTGACTTCATACCGATCCGCTGCTTTCAAACGCCGTCGTTCACTTTTCCTGTCTCTATTGTTCGAGCCGAATGTTTTCTGGAAAACCACCTCCTGTGAAGCGTCTCGACTCGAGCTCAAGTTCAGCTTGAGAGAAACTCGCAGCACTTCTGGCTGTCGATTCCTCCTCGATTCTGATGAGCAAATGTGTGTGTGTGTGTGTGTGTGAGTGAGTGAGTGTGTGTGTGTGAGACCTCGTTCAGCAGAAGCTGACGTTGAAGTGACAAAACAAACCGCAGCTAATCAACACCAGTCTTAGTCGATCACAGATCATACCACTGCGTGCATTAGTTAGGTTAACTGCCAACACTTTACTATAAGTACACTGGTTAAGATGAACTATACATCTAAGGCACTTAGTTCATTACTGCATTTACTAATACATTAGGGTTTTATTTGTTAATATAATTTAATGCATGGTGAAATAACCAAATAAATAAATAAAATAAAATAATAAACAAATAAATAGATTACTGGAATAAAGTAAAATATAAAAACTTTTCTTTTCAGCTAGTTGGTGACGGCAATATTTCTCATGTTATTTTAGTTGAACTTGAATAGTTAAAATTAAAACTGAAAGAAAAAAAAAAAAAAGATTGAATAAAACTAACTAAAATTTAAATGAAAACTGATATTAATAAAATAGAAATAATAATTAATATTAACAAAAACTATAACAGTATCAAAAATGTTACTTGAAATAAAATAAAAACAAAAATATAAAAATATTCAGTTAGTTGCCAAGGCAACATTTACATAAACACACACACACACACACATATATACACACACTCACGCGCACATCACACCACAAAATGACTAAAACTTTAACTAAAATTTAAATTTAAATGTAACATTAAAATAAAAACTAATGCAACTTTCCAATCAAGTCAAGCTCTTTGTGTTCATTGTTCAGGTACAAGAAGTTTAGAAATGGTAAGTAAGACTAAGTTAAAGCAATGTATGTTCATGTATGTTTTATATTTACAAACTGAAGCATGAGTCAATTTATTTATTTATTTATTTTTGGGGTGGGGACCAGCATTACTCATTCACAGATACTGTCCATAAAGAACTACGTGACTCACGTGTATTTTAAAAGTAAAAGAATGTGCACATGAAACTACGACTCAATGTCTTCTTATCTCACGTGTGAGTGATTGCATCTCAGCAGCGCCTCTCATTAATCTCACTGTTTGGGGGATTTTCCTCTGCTCTGTTACCATGGAGTTTACTGCGGTATTCCCTCTCTGCTGTGTTTAATGCTACTAACTTACTTTCCTCTTTCACTCGTTTTTCCTGTCGTCTCTTCTTCTGTTTTCTCTCAGTCCCTCAGATTGCGGTCCTGAAGCTCCTGGAGAGAAGAGGAGGATTATCCATCAAAGCTCTTCAGATGTGAGGATGTAGGTGTCTTCTCTTCAGTAATCAAAGCCTCACAGACACCAGAGCTGCGCTCCAGACATGCTGCCTTCTGACAGAGGGACAAAAATGGCCATGAAAAAATACAATTACAGATTTGATGCAAGAAGTGGTGTGCAGTGATTGTAAAACAATGGATTGAATGAACATGATTCAAACATGAACATCAGCTAGTTGTAAAGTGTATCCACATGAATGAAAATCATTACAGTTACTGTGATGTTATGACTGATGTGAGCTTGTTTCCACCACAGAATAAAAATATTAAAAAAGTTATTTCATAATTCTGACTTTTCTCGGGATTCTGAGTTTAAGTCTTGCAATTGTAATTTTTTTCCCCCTCAGAATTCTGAGTTTAAGTCTTGCAATTGTAATTTTTTTCCCCCTCAGAATTCTGAGTTTAAGTCTTGTATTTGTAACTTTTTTCTCTGAATTCTGAGTTAAAATCTCGTAATTGTAACTTTTTTCTCTTAATTCTGAGTTAAAATCTCGTAATTCTAACTTTTTTCTCTGAATTCTGAGTTAAAATCTCGTAATTGTAACTTTTTTCTCTCAGAATTCTGAGTTAAAATCTCGTAAAATTTTAACTTTTTTCTCTGAATTTTGAGTTAAAATCTCGTAATTGTAACTTTTTTTTCTCTCAGAATTCTGAGTTAAAATCTCACAATTGTAACTTTTCTCAGAATTCTAAGTTTACATCTCACAAATGTAACTTTTTTTTCTCAATTTTGAATTTGTATCTCTGAATTCTGAGTGTAGATCTTGATATTGTAACTTTTTTCAGAATCCTTTTTTTGTTTGTTTGTTTTTGCCACAGAATAAAAAAATAAAAAAGGTAATTGCAACTTTATCTCACAATTTGAGTCAACCAAATTGCGAGAGAAATGACAGAATTATGAGATAAAGTCGCAATTATTTTATTAGTTTTTTTTTTCATCCTGTTGTGGGAACAATTTATTTGTTTTTGATTAAAAAAAACAAAATCTAAGTCCATAACTTTCACATTTCACAACACATTCAGTATATTTTATTTCAATCACATCATGCGATCACTTACGTGTTTAATGTAGAATCCAGCAAGATGAATTCAGAAGGTCATAAATATGAAATCTGAGATAAATATGTAGAAGCTCGTTTAAATGTCTGTTGTTATTAATTAACGCCCCTCACTGATGACGATCCCCAAACAATCCTCCACTCAGCCTTTCTGTTTTTAATTAATGTTTTTGATGATTCTGCTGGTTTTTTTTATGTGTGTGATTTTCCCGTCTATATCTGTTCATAATTAAAACGCTCAAATACAGGCAGTAATTCACAGCGTTGATTACTCTCATC